TCATCACACAAACATTTGTCCTGGGTGGGAATCGAACCCACGACCTTTGGCATAACAGTCAGGGTCACTAACCACTAGACCAACAGGCCTGTCGTTCAAAATCATACCCACGTAAAAAAATAACAGAAAGAAAAGTAAGTTTGTCAATAGATTAAACACTTACATCTATGGCCTTTGATGCGTTGAAGTAACACAAATGTATTATTGATAGATACACTGCGGTCAAACGACCATACACTAACTCCATGACTGCAGTTGCTTGGTCTTATATAGTACCAGTAAGTAATAATTCTAATCTAAAGAATTTCTACAGTAGAATTGATAATAACTTTATGCGTCAACAACCTTATCTCACATTCTTCGTGTTGCGTCTTATTCAGTGTATTGATGACTCAAATACGTTTTGTATAACAGAAAAAATGCAATTTAATATTTAGAAATCACATAATTGATCATTCCTATGTTAGTCATTGAGTAGATTGTACTGTAGTAATCTACTAATAGCAGTAATATCACGGATACACTAGATGTACAACAACATCTGAAAAAGATTCACCCCAGTCTAGAAAATAATGTTTATGCTGCTAACAGACTGCCCATGTACACCCACGTACCAACGTATATACCTAGTCAGGTCATAAGTATTGTCACACAGTAAAAACTTTTCTTTTAGAATGCTGGCCACAAAAAAGTTTATTGAATTCGAATTGTTCATGAAAATAAAACTGTATACTTTTAGAATTTTACTCATTTTTACATATGGAGTGGACGCTTAAAAAAGACCGTGTTGCAGTTGCGATTACGCGCCTATTAAATTTTTTGATATACTGAAAAATTTGAATATAACCAAAAGATTCGTTTATCGTACCATCAAACGATACAATGAAGACTCTAGTGTAGATGACAGGTCAAGAAGTGGTCGCCCTCGATTTGTTAGGACTCCAGCAGTGATAAAAGCTGTAAAGGTGCGAATTCAAAGAAATCCCAAACGTAAGCAGAAACTGTTGGCCCTTCAGATGGGGTTAAGCAGAACCACGGCGTTAAATGAAGACTTAGGGCTTCGGGCATATCGAAGAAAAACAGGACATCGTTTGAATGCTCGTCTAATGGATCTGAGACTGAAGAGATGCCGCGCTTTGGTGAAGCGGTACGCGGGAAAAAATATCGGGAAATTCTTTTTTCGGATAAAAAAAATTTTACCGTAGAAGAGAGCTACAACAAACAAAATGATAAGGTGTACGCACACAGTAGTGAAGAAGCGAGCAACCGTATTCCGCGTGTCCAACGAGGTCATTTTCCATCCTCGCTCATGGTATGGTTGGGAGTTTCTTATTGGGGCTTAACAGAGGTACATTTTTGTGAGAAAGGTTAAAAACGAATGCAGTTGTGTATCAAAATACAGTCCTGACGAACCTTGTGTAACCTGTTTCTCATACCATGTTCAATAACAGGCACTGGGTATTCCAACAAGATTCGGCGTCAGCTCATAGAGCGAAGAGCACACAAGACTTTTGACAGCTCCGTGGCGTAGTGGCTTAGCAATGAGTGGCTGCGCTTGGGGGTCGCGGGTTCGAATCCCGCACGGAACAAGTATTTGTACGACCTACAAGTAATTGTTCCGAGTTTGGATGTTTGTCCTTGTGAAATTTGTGTTTGTAAACTGCCCCCCACGATACAGGAGAAAAACCTAGTGTGGAGGTAACGTTCTTTAAAAAACAAAAAAAAAAAAGACTGGCTGGCGGCGCGTGAAATCGACTTCATCCGACACAAAGACCAGTCCAGATTTGAATCCGTTAGATTACAAGATATGGTAACACTTGGAGGAAAAGGCGTGCTCAAAGCCTCATCCCAATTTCGAGTCACTCAAGACATCTTTAATTAAGGCAGCCGCCGATATGACATGGACCTCGTTCGTGGTGAGATAGACGACTGGCCGCGCAGATTGAAGGCCTGTATTCAAAATTACGGAGGTCATTTTGAATAAACTATAGTGTCATAAGAATCTATGTTTTGTTAAGTTCATTTTGGTATATAAATGGTTACATAATGAATAAACTTGTTTCAATTATTTTACATTAAACATGTGATAGAATTCATGACCTGACTAGGTAATATGCAATTTGGGTACAGATGATAAACCAGGGTCACATTAGGTAGCTTTATATATCGATACGAATGACGTCGGTGGATATTTTGATTCATATGGGCGGGCACCTGTACGAAATTGTAAAAGATGGAACTAGAATGTTGATAGGACTTCAGTTTGTGGCGAATATTGCTTAATGTATTTGCTATATAAGTTTCAGGGATGTTCAATGCATAGTTTTACGAGTATATTTACAGAGAACACATTGTACAACGATATGTTAGTGGATGAGATGTTTCGCTCCTAATTTATAGATAATAAGTAATAAGATTTTGTATTTTATAAATAAAAATTTTAATAAAATTAGGTAATGTGTTTAAAAGATGAAACTGGAATGTTGATAGGACTTCAGTTTGTGGCGAATATTGCTTAATGTATTTGCTATATGTTTCAGGGATGTTCAATGCATAGTTTTACGAGTATATTTACAGAGAACACATTGTACAACGATATTTTAGTGGATGAGATGTTTCGCTCCTATTTTATAGATAATAAGTAATAAGATTTTGTATTTCATAAATAAAAATTTTAACAAAATTAGGTAATGTGTTTAAAAGATGGAACTGGAATGTTGATAGGACTTCAGTTTGTGGCGAATATTGCTTAATGTATTTGCTATATAAGTTTCAGGGATGTTCAATGCATAGTTTTACGAGTATATTTACAGAGAACACATTGTACAACGATATGTTAGTGGATGAGATGTTTCGCTCCTATTTTGTAGATAATAAGTAATAAGATTTTGTATTTTATAAATAAAAATTTTAACAAAATTAGGTAATGTGTTTAAAAGATGGAACTGGAATGTTGATAGGACTTCAGTTTGTGGCGAATATTGCTTAATGTATTTGCTATATAAGTTTCAGGGATGTTCAATGCATAGTTTTACGAGTATATTTACAGAGAACACATTGTACAACGATATGTTAGTGGATGAGATGTTTCGCTCCTATTTTGTAGATAATAAGTAATAAGATTTTGTATTTTATAAATAAAAATTTTAACAAAATTAGGTAATGTGTTTAAAAGATGGAACTGGAATGTTGATAGGACTTCAGTTTGTGGCGAATATTGCTTAATGTATTTGCTATATAAGTTTCAGGGATGTTCAATGCATAGTTTAACGAGTATATTTACAGAGAACACATTGTACAACGATATGTTAGTGGATGAGATGTTTCGCTCCTATTTTATAGATAATAAGTAATAAGATTTTGTATTTTATAAATAAAAATTTTAACAAAATTAGGTAATGTGTTTTATTGATGATTCAGATTAGTGTTGTAGATAGGAACAAAGGAGTATAATACAATAGCATAAGCCGACCCACACGCTGGACGAATAATAGATAATGACGGTAGTCAATCAACAATAGATAAGTAGATAAGGACAATGGAGCGCTAATGACGGTTGAGGCTCGCAGTGGATATCAATTAGATAAGAGTTAATTGATCTGCACATCTCCGGAACCGTGCATCCTACGCAATTTTTTTTTTTTTTTTTTTTTAGGATTGTGAGTCGACGAACGTCGTGCGCCAGAACTGGTACAACCTTTCTACAAGTGCGCCAGAACTGGTACAACGTAACTACTAGCGCTCGCTGTAGATTTCACAGTATGCGAGCAAACCGGGTTCATCCCCGCCGGCACCAATGAAATTTTAAATTGCAATTTTAAGCGCTGGTTTGCCAAAGTAAATCGTGAGAAAACCTATGATATATATGATATGGGAAAAAATTATTTCGAAGACATGTAAAGTTCGCCAACACGCATTGGGTCAGCGCGGCGGACACTTCCTTGCCCTAAAACCATCTCAGAAATGTGAGGAGGCCTGTGCCCAGCCGCCGTAGCCGTAGCAAGAGCCGTGGTAGCTCAGATGGTTAACGCTCGCTGTAAATATAACAGAATGCGAGTAACCCGGGTTCGATCCCCGCCGGCACCAATTAAATTGTTAAATGCAATTTTAAGTGCTGATTTACCACGTGCTCGGCTGTGAAGGAAAACATCGTGAGGAAACCTGCATGTCTGAGGAATAAGAAAAAAATATTTCGAAGACATGTGAAGTTCGCCAACACGCATTGGGGCAGCGCGGCGGACACTTCCTTGCCCTAAAACCCTCTCAGAAATGAGGGGAGGCCTGTGCCCAGCAGTGGGACGTATATAGGCTGTAACTTTACTTTTTACTTTACTGTGCCCAGCCGTGGGACGTATAATAGGCTATAACTTTAACTTTAAGTAAAGCACTAAATTCTACTAAACACAATAGAAAAAACGCGCACATTACCATGTTAGAAATCTAAAAGTACGCTGATCATAGGCGCATTACTAAATCTGATTAAAATGCGACATTGCCTACCTTGTCTTGTGCAGTCTTAAATTACATAATAAACATCTTTATCGTCACTCTACGACTAGGTAAGTCCAACTTCAACCATCGACGAAGTCAATTAACTGATTCAACTCATAATCTGGTATAACTCAAAATCTCAAAACTAGATTCTTCAATCAGTGCTTGTTGCCAGTGATGACCTATGGATCTGAGACGTGGTCCTTCATTGCCGGCCGTATGAGGAAGCTCAAAGTCGCTCAGCGAGCTATGGAAGGAGCTACGTTCGGAGTTTCTCTGCATGGTAAACTTAGGAATAATGATATCCGCAGTAGATAGAACCAGAGTAACCGACATATCCGAACGGATTAATGAACTAAATTGGCAATGGGCAAGCCGGAATTGGCGATGGGTAAAAAAAGCTCTATCTCTATAAGCATTATAAGGCTTATTGTGAGTGTTAAAGGGAGTATTAATAGTGCTAATATTATTTTCTTAAAAAAAATAAAAGTAAAAATTTAAAATGTGTTTTATTTACCCGGATCGCTCTCCGTTCGAAAAGGATCGAGGCTGTTTCGTGGACTGTTCGTCGAGCCGTCTTCACTAACGCGATTCTGAAACAAAACAAGGCGTTAAACCAGCAACTAAGGCGGAGTAATCTTATACATAATTCTTCTATACGTATTTTTGTTCTGAACTCAAACGGTTTGACCTACGAGTATTTTGATAATTTTTTTTGTTTGTGTTTGAGTGGATGTGTTCTTGGCTGTTTGGTGTAGTTGCACAATTGGACCCGGTAGGTTTTATTTTTTATTTTTAAGACAGGATAACGTCTACCGGGCCCGCTAGGGTTTCTGTAAAATTCAAATCCGGTTTTCTTTGTTACCAACTATCACAGTTTTTACGCGGTAGAGCTACGATGCAGCCAAACATAATTATGTTTGTAGAACGGGTCGACCAGGTAGGACAACACTCTCACAGAATACCAGCGTAAAATATCAGCTTCATGCTGCTGTGTTTTGTATGATTATTGTGGAGAACCGTAGAACTTTTTAATGGAAATAAGGCATTCTATCTTAGTCCTCAGTAGTGACAATTTATCCGCATTTTGATTCTCAATCGAAATTAGCTGTGGATGTCTGTGTCACTTACCATATAGTAGACGGTGTGCTCCTTTGTCATCTTTTATTCTATAAAAACGTTTAAAATGCGTGTGTTGGGAGTGGTTGACAATCATAGTAGTCGAATGGTGGATTCGAACCCACGGCTTTCAAGTCGCAGTTACTCTTAACCTGTTAAATCCAGTAGGTATATTGATATATTGCTATGATATCATAACACCGCCTGCAACATTACAGGGCGCAAGTTCGGCCTCACATGGAATACTGTTCCCATCTCTGGGTTGGGGATCCCCAGTGCCAGCTTCTTCCACTTGACTGCATCCAGCGCAGTGTGGCTCGAATCGTCAATGACCGAGCGCGATCGGATCGATTCACTGGTGCTGCAAAGAGATGTTACATCCCTGAGGAATTGGATAAATTCCAGCCGCCAAATTTCATGAACGCACAATGCGGCAAATCTCCCGATACCATCCACGCCATCTGGATGCTTGGTGGTCCACCACCGTACGTTTCACTAGGAGTTCTTGCTCGTACAACTTATCTGTGGAATAGTTTATCACCGGCGATTTTTCTGGACTGATACGACTTACGGACCTTCAACAAAAGAGCTTACTCCTTTCTGAAAGGCCGTTAACGCACCTTTTCCAATTCCCCTAATATTGCAGTTGTTCATGGGCGGCGAGAGTCACTTAACATCAGTTGAGCCGTCTGCTCGTTTGCCCCATCTCCTACAAATAAAGTGACTGCCTCGTTGGTCAAGTGGTTGTAGTAGTGCGACTGCTGATCATGAGGTCCTGGGTTCGAATCCCCGGGTCGGGCCAAAAAATCAATTATTGAGTTTTTCTGTCAAGAAATTCTCAGTAGCTGCCCGGAGTCAGGAAGTTGGCGGTGTCTCACCCCCGTGCCTCGGAAAGCACGTAAAGCCGTTGGTCCTGCGCCTGATCTCTCTCCGGTCGTGTTGGTTTACCATCCCATCGGATTATGAGAGAATAGAGAGTGCACCTGTGCTTGCGCATACACTTGGGCACTATAATCCTGTCCTGCGCCGATGGCTAGCCTTCGTTGAGGCAGGCCGCAGATATTCGGTCTGGAGGACATTATTATTATTATAAAAAAAGTAACTTGTATCATTTGAAGTAGATTTACTTAAGGTACATTTCTATTAATTGCTTTCAAGGCCTAGTTTATTAGATTGTGGCTGACGAGCGTAATTGCTCTTTATTTCGATCCATTAACCCATGTGTAGATACTTACTGACGCTCCACATAAAATTGATTTACAATTCGTGAAGTTACTAAGTGTGCTCGCCGCACGAAAATTGTCAGCAATTAAACGCAATGCCCTTGAGATTTGCTTAAAATATACAGTTATCTATACAAATAAATAAAATTGACGTTTCTGTTTGTAATGTACAACATAACAGCTTTTTACTGAATGCATTTGAAAGTATATGCGGTATCTCTAGCTAAACAACTATTTTTTTTAAATTTTGTCTTTCTGTCTGTGTGTCTGATTGTTTTGGCTAATTACCGAAACGGCTAGACAGATTTTGACGTGACTTTCACTGGCAGATAGCTAATTTTATATGAAGAAACTTAGGCTAATTATATTTTTGAAAATGAATTAGGGTTAGGGAAAAAACCCATGAAATTCCGATTTCACATGGGGGAAGTATAATAAATTACTAAAAAATATACTGTGCGAAAGAAGTCGCGGGCATAGCTAGTGTGTAATAAAAGTTCATTATATATATATATATATATATATATATATATATATATATATATATATATATATATATACCACCTCATTCCCAGGGGTTATTATCAATCATGTACTCTTTCGTAGTGTAATAACCCTTACATCGCTATTTTAATAAAACAATTTTGTTTTTGTGTACATATTTTATAAGATATAGAATTATTTCTGTAAGATTTTGTACAATAGCTAATAATTAACTAAGCAAAATGAAAATGCAAAGTGTATGCTTAGGTGTTGATTGAAAGAATTATGAAGGAAACTGACGGAATGAGGGATGAGCAAGCTGGATTTAGAAAGGAAATGTGCAATTTTTTCTATACACGCATATCAACTTTTACTATGCGCATAATCATGGATAAGTTTTTGGTCGAAACCAGAAAGATTTCTATGCGTTTTTAAACTTGGATGACACACCTATGGCATTGGACAGGTTTGCTTTATGACAAACGCTGTTCTTATTTGGGTAAAACAGCTAGGCTGCTTTTGTCCAGATCAAATGGACCACCCAGACTGGCTTAGGATCCATAAACAGAAACAGAAACTTTTTTATTTAACGTAGATTAGTCAGACAGGGTTAAGTAGATTCCCTGTGGCTGTTCAATCTGTTCATAGACAGTCTGCCTTGTACGCCGACGATCAAGTCGTTAACGATACTTTTGTCGTCTACGGGCAAGTTGCAAATGATGATTACATTAATAAACATAGTAAAAGAAAGGTTTTTGTTGTGTAGTGATGGTTTTTGAAAAAGAAGAAAGCAAAACGATATGTGAAATAAAAAATAAAGAAAAATCATTAGATGAGTTGCAAACATCCTACTAGAAGATCTAGAGCACATCCTGGATACATCTCAGATATGTTGTAAGGATGGTAGACATGGGAAGGATATTAGGACGAAGAGTGTTGCAGAACATAAAGTAATAGGGCTCTTCACTCTTTTGTGGGAAGTCGGAATGTTTAAAAAAAGGTATGTAAGGCAATTCACAATGCTGTGTTAGTTAATTAGACCTTATGTGTGGAATGAAAGTTGGTTGTGGTAGAAACATGAGTAAAATTAAATGCTGCAAAATTGCGGTAGTAATGATGTCAGTTAAGGCCGAATACGAAGAGAACTCGCGAAATTTAATGTATTTCTCTTCACTACGACTTTGACCTGAAGTAATTCTAAGCGTTAAAACATTTTTTGTAGGTTTGTTCGGTTCCTTCACAAGGTGACCGCAGTTTTAAAATTTTAAAATAAATGAATATACCAACAAATAAAAAAATGTTAAGAAATGATATTTAAAAATTATTGTTCTTCCAAAACTCTGTGAATTTCAATTTAGGAAAAATTCTTTTACGTAAAAATGTTTGTATTGTGATTCCGAAGGTGCCTGCTGTCTTTATTTTCGATACAAAATATTATTTATTAACATAATTCATTTTAATTAAAAGCACCTAATAATAATATCGTATATTGCCAGATAAAAGTTTGCCGTAATAAATTACCAGGCGCTTCGACGTGTGACGTAAGGTAACAACAGTCGATGTGTCTGTAGCGAAAATCGTTAATTTAGTGTTTTATACGCGTTTAAGTGACTATAAATGTAAATATGGGTAGGAAAAGAAACAAATGTTACCTAAGCGGTAAAACAAAGAGAGTTTATCGCATGAACGCTGCTCGAATGTTGTATTTTGAGGTTAATACTTATATTTTTGTAAGGTAATTTTTTGTTTGAGGCTGCCTAATAGGTTGCATTTTTACTCATTTACATTAGCCAAACTGATCATTTATACTTTTCTAGTTTCAAGTGAGAAACACTAAAAATGTAAAATATCAAGACCCAATCGGAAAATAATGTACAGAGTAGTGCAAGCACAGAGACCGCAAATAATGTCAGTCAATGTATTGTCCGAAAGCATGGGATAAGTACATAATTAAGAAAAACCGAAATACTTCGGATGTGAAGTGATTGACCAGTCGGAGTAGTCTTGTGAGAATTTACATACACAGTACCTATCCCCATATGGGGCAATCACCGACTTTTTAGTTTTTTTTCTTTATTAGTTATGCAATTTGCATTACGGCATCTTATAAGACTCACAAGAACAAACATTTTCAGTTATATGAGGTTCTTTACGTACGATGCACCAATAAAGAAAAAAAAATCTTTATCAATTCAATAACTTTTCGAACAATATTTTATAACGAATAAAGTACAGAATTTATAATCTATAGGAACTAATATTATAAATAAGAAAAATTTATTTAAGAAGTAAGCAATGCTCTCTGTGTTGTTCATTACTCTGCATCTGCGCTAGTTCGTCAAATATAATCAAAGCCCGTACGGCTTTGATTATAGGTATTATACATGTCTATATAAACAAAGCGTAGGTACTGGCGGCGCGTGGTTCGCTGCGAAACGAGCAAGGTCATTCGCGTCGTATTCGGCCTTAAGGGTGACTCTTAATGATAGTGAGGTTTAATTTTTAATAAATTATTTTAATATTTGTCATATTAAAATAATTTTTAAAAATTAAAAAAAAAAAAAAAAATAGTAGAAGATTCTTAAAAATGTGACGCAGAAAAAAAGAAGCAGGAGGAAAAAAATTATGATTTAGACGATTTTGATACGGGCGCTACGTACGTTTTACGTCGTGAAGTTAAAAATACGTTTGAAGATTACATCCATAAATAAACTTTGGTTGGAAATGAAAGTTGATATTGATGTTAAATATGACTACAATTACAAAAA